ATGTATGATATAATATAGAGATGTCACGTTTGTGAGAAGATTCTACACCTTAATACAGATCAAGTAACACGAAAGTATACCGAAGTATTCTGATGCTAGCCTATACAGAAGCCAAGTACAGACTAGGTAATTAAGTGATAAGGAATTTGTGCATTTGTTAAATAATGATGCATAGAACTGATGAGATCGGCTCAACAACTCAAAAATGAATGATATACCATACCCTTATTTGTGCATACCTGTTCAAGCAAGCAAGACATCCAAGGCAAGCTACAGTGACATGCACTTTAGGGATGTGTCATGTATGTCTAATAAATGTAGTAAACAATGTGCACATTTAGCAGAACTAGTCGCCGAGCTGAATGGTCAACCTAGCAAAATCTAACAGACGCTGCTTTTGACATTTTGCTTGCATTATACTCATACATTATGAAGACCTCTCATGAAACTTTATGTGCTACAACCTAATATTACAGAAGCTTACATGAAAAAGCAAATAACAGACAATAAATGATGGCTTCAAAAATATATCCCCTTCAGGCGCAGCGTCCACATTTGTGGACGCCAACTTCACAGCTCAATATCTCGAAATTTACTTTGAATCTCGCGCGCAACCAGTGCTCTAATACATGTTGCTGCAGCGACCCGTGGCGCCATCTGCCGCAGCTGACACAAAATAACTACAAAAACAACTCTCAAAGATGGACGCCTCCACGTTTTACGGCGGCGCACGTAAGTGGCTCTCACTTTTCAAGCCCTTGCTATGTTTCATTCGAGGTGGCATGAAATTATGCACTTGTCAGTAAGAGCTAAGAGATACCTCATGCCAATAAACAAGACTTTTGCAACTAGAAACTATTTATAACGTCAAAAAGGGTGCGTAAAATACCGCGTCCACGATCGTGGACATTGCGCCTTAGTGCTGCCTTTGTTGCAGGGCAGCCATTTCGCACCGTGTGCGCAGATATGATGGTTATGTGTGATTTTTTGTCTCCAGGACTTGAAGATCATGCTTCAAAACGTCAGAAAGTTGATGATGCGACAGCAGAAGAAATCCTCATGAGAATATCAAATGGAGATATCTCAGATGGCGACTTTTCAGATGACGAATTGGAAGCAGAAAATGAAGAAAACATAGTAAGTTTGCTCGAGATTGTGAGACATTATTTTGTGTTCTCGGGAAACATATGGCACCAAACTGTCTAAAGGTACTTTGACCCTAATTTACGCTGTTTGTTTCAGCCTGCCAATGGTCAGGTGACCGCATCCACGACCACAGCTGCACTGCCTGCACGACCAGACGCCACGGTCAGCTCGAACGCACCTGCGGCATCTACGAAGGCTGAGTTCAAATGGGTGAAGAAAGATTTTGCTCCAAGTGATGTTGACTGCCACTACAATCCTGAAGTAGCCTCGACATGCCAGCAGCCACTTGTGTATTTTAGCAAGTATTTCACCGAACAGATATTTGAAGACCTTGCTGAATTCACAAACAGGTATGTCCTGCAAAGAGACGGTGCCGTATTAGCCACTACAAAAGAAGAGATCAAAATATTTTTTGGAATGCTCATGCTGATGGGTGTTCTGAAATACCCACGCGTCAGAATGTATTGGCAAACTGCAACGAGGATTCCCGCAATAGCCGATTCGATGGGCGTGAAGCGATTCTTCAAAATCAGAGGCGCTCTCCACATAAGCGACGCTAATGAAGAACGGGACCCGAACAGCCAAGACAAATTTTGGAAAGTTAGGCCGTTGCTAGAAGCTGTCAGAAGCCGCTGCTTACAGCTTGTTCCCTTGGAACAGAATAGCATCGATGAACAGATGGTGCCGTTCACAGGACGCATTGCTGCAAAGCAATTTGTGAAAGGAAAACCGAACCCAGAAGGCGTGAAGGTTTTTGTACGCTGCAGTTTTGACGGTCTTGCACATGACTTTGAGTTTTACCAAGGGAAGGGAACGGGAGTGAGCAAAGAACATGCACATCTTGGCCTTGGTGGCTCCGTCGTAATGCGCCTTGTTGAAAGCCTCCCGAAGGCACAGAACATCAAGTGCTACATGGACAATTATTTTACGTCCGTGAAGCTCTTTCTTGAGTTAAAAAAGATCGGCATTTTGGCTAGTGGCACAATTAGGGGAAACCGCTTGGCAGGATGCGTCATGAAAACAGACAAGGAAATGAAGAAAGAAGGACGGGGAAGCTATGATGAGCGGGTTTCCCAGAACGACGAAGTTGTCCTTGTTCGTTGGCAAGACAACGGGACCGTCAACATGGCTTCTACCCACCTTGGAGTTGGAAATATTGGCACCGTGAGAAGATGGAGCGAATCCCAAAAGGTCCACGTTGACATTGACTGTCCAGAGGTAGTCCTGGACTACAACAAATACATGGGTGGAGTAGACAAACTAGACTTCATCATGTCCCTCTACCCAATGCGGACGCGAACGAAAAAGTGGCCTGTGAGAGTGATTTCCCATTTTGCATCTTTTGCGCTCTCCAACAGTTGGCTTGAATACTTAAGGGATGCCAATAAAGCAGGGCTACTAAGAAAAGAGACACTGGACATGATGGCGTTCCAAACAGACGTCGCGAATTGCCTGCTGAACAGCAATAAGCCACAAAAGAAGCGTGGACGTCCGAGCAATGACAACTCCCGAACAGTGAAAAAGAAGGTACCCAATGCTTCACCACTACCAGTCAGCACTGTTCGCTATGATGGGATTAATCATTGGCCGCAGCAAGTAAACATGGCTAACGCACAACGCTGCCGGAGAGAGGAATGCACATCCAAAAGCCGTGTCCGCTGCAGGAAATGCAACATTTTCCTTTGTCTGACATCTCAGAACGACTGTTTTTATTTGTTTCATACCAAATAGACTCTTTCTGATTATTTTTGCGGAAAAGACTTCCTAAGCAGTGTTCCTGCAATGATTATTTGCGAGCCTCCGAAATAAAAGCGTTTGTTTTCTTCTTCTCCACCGTTCATGGGTATTGCAACAAGGAAAGCGAGATGTAAAATATGTATTTACTAGAGCCTATACAACAGGCAGTATGGCGAAAAACCCACGCACAAGCCATGGCGCACCTTCGTCGTCTTCCTTTCCCTGCGTCTTCGTGCGCGCGCTTGGGTAACGGTCACGTGACAATATGACTGCTTTGAGGCGCAATGTCCACATATGTGGACGCCATTGAAAAATTGAACCAATGAATTTTTTTCTGAATTTCTTGTGGATTCCTTCTTTAATAGCGTTATGTATTCATAATCTGAACAAAATTTTTTTTTCGCTACGTCAGATTTAATTCGCGCCTGAAGGGGATATGCTGCGATATGCACATTTCATCAATGGTATCAATGCACAATCTAACCACAGAAAGTCCTTATGAAGAAATAAATTCGGAAATTCCAAGTGAGCAGAATAAACATAGCAGGTTTACAGCAACAAAACAATTGAAAAGAAGGGTTGATGCTCTGTTATTAGTTTTGCCAAAAAGACTGCAATCTTCTAGTATGACAACAAAAAAAACTATCAATTCCCACTAAGCCACACACAAAACAGTGACACGAAACTTTCATGCCTTGGCACCATGCAAGAACTTGTATGTCAACCAACGTCTGTTACTGATGTTTGTACTTCTACCCCTCATAAACTCGTGAATTCACTTGCCTCATTCTTGTAAAGCTGGACGCATGCTAATACGTAAAGACAGTTTCAGTAACCTTAAGAAGCAAAGAAACTTGAACACCTTCTTGCATGACATAGTACTATGAAGTAAAGCCTGCTAACAAGGAGTGACAGCTTTTCTTCCCACTCAAATCCACCTTAGCTGGTTCACAAATGACAGTTGGCGGGATGCCAGAACACACATATTTGGTTTCTTTAGATTATAACATGTGCTCCACGTATTTCCATTGTGTTAGCTGCAATTGTCTGTGGAGCACGCTGCCTGCGTGAATTGGTAAGATTTAGAGATACGTGAGGGCAGAGTTAAATGAAAGTTCTATAAAGCATTTGTTCAGCGTTTCGTGTAAGCTTCAATAATATGGCAGTACGATGCAGTCAGTGCCTGATGACAATGCCAAGATTTTACATGGACACAGAAAGGATAAACGAAAAATAGCTTCAGTTAATTAGATAAACTAGTAACGTTAACAATGCTGTCATGATGGGTAGCTTGACTGATATTGACAGCTTTTCATATCATACTCCTGAGCTTGCATTACTTTGTAACCACTGCAGCTCACATTAACGGTCCCCACACACAATTAGAACCAAAAACTACGTAGTATATCTCACTATCAGTAAGACGATTCAAAATATCTCTTCAATAAAATAACTGCCTTCCCTTTGGTATGAGAGATCACTCGGAACTGCATTCTAAATAATGTGCAAGCAAAAACAGCTGCTAAGCAGACAAACAGCAAAAGTGTGCTGCTGTCTTGGTGTTCATGTTGAAGGATAAGGAAAAAACAAAATGAAAATGCATTTTTTTTTGCTTACTTGTAATGCAAACAGTTTCATGAATGACATTTACACAGCCATTACAAGTTCTGCTCAGCGACAAAAGTAGCAGTTCAATCACTGCTTGACAGAAACGAGCAGAGTGATGCCAGAAGTTCAGCTCTGTACACCGCAAGTGGTAATATATATATGTATATATAGATATCTGTATTGTACATTCTGGTTCAGGCTTATTTAAAATCTGAACTTTTTTCAGGATGCAGATGCCACCGCGAGAAAGTGATGCATAGCAGCAAAAAAGGTAATTCTGCTTGGAATTCTCAAAGTACAACCTTGGTCCATGAAAAAAATTCACAAAAAACAGTAAAAAGTAAGAATTGAATACCGACAACAAAGTCTGTATAGAAGGTATGGACAATACAGCCAATGAAAGATGCCACTCACAAAATTAGAGCAGTCCGTAAAAAAATTGCACAAAACACGAGATGCAGGGTCCTTCGGACTTTAAAAACTGTAATGACTACAAAGCAGCAATAGTGCTCTAAAAAACGTGCAAAACGACAGTGAAACAGCTGCTAGAGTGGCATTGTAAGTGTGAAGTGAGAGGGGAAAAGGCAGAGGGAAGGCAGTCACCCCAATACTTCTTTGCTCCTTCTTGAGATCAGACACACAACTGGGATCTGGGAGTACTAAATCGTAGTGACTGTGTGCCTATGAATCACTTTGGCTGTGCTCTTGACCATTTATACCAAGAAAGCTATACTTAAATCACTTGCGATACACAAAGTTCGATACCCCCAATGCACTTTTTCAAGCATAGGAAACATAATGAAAATATTTTTTGATGCACTAGAAAGATATTTCAGTATGTAACTACTGATTTAGTAATATATTTAAACTAACACTCTCTTTTCAGAACAAATGTAATCCTCAGGGACAGAAATATATTTATACAAGTCCTTTAAACGTGTTTTCATGTGGAATTGTGTAGATGCTGTCTTGTGTTTTTCCACATTTGTAGAAGTAATGGTCCCTCCAACCAAACTATGAAGTTCCAAAAAACATCCAAGAGAGTTGCTGAAGGGCTTGACTGATTAACCCTAATAAAGGCAAACTCAGTGCCAGCTAGAACGTCTTGAGCAAGTCGGTGCTTGAGTTTACGAGACAGACTGGCATTAAATACATATCATTAAAAGGGAAACAAAAAAAGACAGAGAAATGCCAAACTAATAAATAGTTTGTCCTTTGCAGTGTGAATTTCATTCCAAAAGCAAGCATGCACAGTAAATTACTGGCACTGACTTTTTTGAGTTTTTTCAGCTGACTAAATCCATTCAAAACCAATGACCTTTCCCAGTTATCTATGTGCTCATTGAGATATTAAGAACTCTAAGGCATACTTATGCCCAAACAAGCTAAAGGGGGAGTAGTATAGCTCCACTGCCCCTCACTAAAAATTTACCCTTCCCCCACGCCAGTCAGAATGCTTGCTGAAAAGAAGTGACTGCCCCCTAACCCTTTCTAACCCCCACCTCACCCCTCGGATGTCAAAGACTTCCCAAAGTTCTTGAATAGCTTACGCTGAAACGGGAAGTTCAAGTGCAGAAGATGTCTTCCTGAGATCTTTGGTGCAGAAGTGTAAATAATTGCGAAATACTTTTTTTTAAAGTGTTCGAATAAAACTAGCACTAGTAAAGCTACAGTCAACCATAAGACAAACATATGAAATGTAATATGATATGCAGTTGCCTTCTTATTACGTAAAAGTGTCAACAAAACAACTAAGATTCAAATGCACACTGCACACCAATTAAAAAAAACATTCACAAAGGCTATGCTATAATTAGGTGCAGATCGGTGATCAGCATGGAATGAGCAGCAATGAGCTTGTCCAAGTTTGAGCATTAAGAATTAAACATAAAAAACATTTAAAAATGAAGAAAGAATACTGACTTGCCTCGACCCCAAACACCATAATAGTTTCTGGTGTGCAGAAGCTCACCGATACGTGCCTATGCGCCAGCTTTGCCTTGCGAGAAACAATAACCCAGAACAACATAGGAAGCAAGCTCACAGTACATCTTGGAATAAGTCAGTTAAAAATTTATATCTGTAGTGCTTTCAAATGCTTATTATTACATTGAACATCCAGATTTTCATTTTATTTCAGAAATGAACGTTAAAGATGTTTGCCATGATGCAGCACTGTATTTCAGCTCACGAATTAGTAAGCATGTCTGCATTTCACGGACATGGATGCTGCAGTACCAAGGTGACTAGGCAGTCACATATTTTCATTGGTATGCAATGATTACAGGGCTTGAGACGCACAACAAAATGATGTAGCTCGTGCGCCCACATCTGACTAGTGCAGGTGTTTGCATATGTGCGTGTATACATGCATGCAAGTAGTCGCAAGCTGACACACACTAGCATGCGTGTGCTGGGTTTGAGCTCTGGCTGCATTGAAAAGCGTGACAACAGTACTTTGTTCCACATTTCCCCAACTTAACGGAAACATGCTTTCAAATCACCCTGAACAGTTTCATGAGTAATGAGCTTCTGCTACAAGATATCGTCGCAACAAAAGTGCTTCTTGAAATTTCATTGCCTTCTCTGCGTCAACATGCGAGGTTTTATGCAATCAGCTAGATCCATGTCAGTTCTAATCCCCTCGTACTTCTCTTATAAATAGTTTGCATGCAGCAATGTAGATCATAGCCAAATAACGATGCCGACCGGCAGAAGAAACACTTTGAATGATGCTCTTAGGCTCACGCTGCTGCAATAAATTAATGTCACAACTTGTCACAAACACAGCAGCACCACAATACGGTCAACACTGTCAAATACAGTGAGCATAAAAGGCAGCACATCGAAGCACACAAATGGACATCACACATAACCATGCGACAGGGTGCACAAAAGAAGGCTATCTTACATAACTGAGGAGTAAGAAGACACAAAGGGCATTGCAGGCTTCAACTCACCTACTTTGCGACTGTGTGTGCTCGTTAGAGGAAGCTGACAACGCCCTTGTCACACAGCAACACACTTCCCCACCCTCAGGCACAAACAAGGCAGCTGCCACAAAAGGTGCTCGCCCAGACAAATCCACCAAAAAAAGACCTGCAAGAACTTCACCCCGTGTCTCGAAAATCAGTGAGCCTGCCGCTGCAAGCAGGCTGTGCATGAAGCACTGACAGTCAGCCAAAAGAAAATGAACAATGTAGGAGGCAAAGGATGGTTGATTGTAGCTCCATGCAACAAGCTGGTGGCGGCGCGGGGGCAAACTGAAGGAACACCAACCCGTCTCCACAGCATGCGTAAGTTCACTGTTCCGAGTTCATGACGGCACTGCCTTGAGGCAACCTTTTGTTAAATCTTGCGAGGTTGCATATTAATTACAGCTGGCACACAAATCACACTCGCCAACGATAACTCTGGCATCCGCTGTTGCCGTCTAGGCACTCGACTCCTTCAGCGAGTCAAAGTATTCGACCAGCTGGTCGTAGTTCATGCCTTTGGTAACATCCTCCCACTCTAGGGTGTTCCCTGCTACTGCCTTCCCATTGGCCCTTGCCTTCACAACCTTGCAGATGGGTGGCAGCACACTCCTGTTGCTGGGTGACGCGGACTTAGATTCAGGCGATGTCGTCTTGGATCCTCCCGGAGACGTGGACTTTGTGTCCGGTGATGTCGTCTTTGAGTCGGGCGAAGTGGTTTTCGATCCGGACGAAGCTATTTTGGAGCTGGGTGACTGAATCCGAACGTGCGGAGACAACACCCTCTGGTGGGGTCCATTGCCGTTATTGTGGCCCAGCAGTGGCACATTCTGCACCGAGTCGGTGGCGGGACTGGTGCGTGATGTGGTTCGGTGCGGGGGCACCGGAGGCGGTCGGGTGAAGGTGAGCATGGGGTTTGTGCGGATGCGTGGCTGGGCTCCTCCGCCCTTCTTGGTAACGGCAAGGTCCTCGCCCATGCTCTGCGCCGGGTTGTTGTCGACGGCGGTGATGCGGCTCGTGGTGGCAGGATAGGGCAGGGAGTTCGGGGGGCTTTTGGAATGGTCCTCAGGGGCCACCAGCGCTTGGGAGCAGCGCGTGTTGACAGAGCTGCGTTCGAGCGTGGCCCGCCCCAGCCAGACCCAGTCGTGGGCGTTAGACACTGGGCGGCGAGAGTGCGAAGGGGGAGCAGCAGTGGCAGTAGGTTGCACAGCGACAGCGGTGCTGTTGACGTCCTGCCGACATAATGATCAAGTCAAAAGGGTTAGCCACAGTGTTCGCTAACAAGGTTCTTTCAAAATAGGTTTTGGAACCACTAACGCCCATCACCTTACCAGCTCCATCAAAAGTCAGGAATCAAAACTGAAGCTAGAAAGGAAAGAAAGCAAACAATATGCCGGGTCTTGACAATGTTGATATTGTGCCAAAAAGATCTAGCACTATGCAGCATTCCTGCAAAAGATAGCTTGCGTTCGTGAAAGCCCAACTTAATATTTCTGATACAATAAATTTTTGCTTAGGCGTGGGAAACTACTTGTTTCCTTTATAGAGCTGCATTATTTAATAGTTAATAAAGCAACTACTCCTTCATTTCTATAATTTTATTTATAACATTATGAGTGCTAAGTACATTCATGGGAAGAAATAATGGTGCAAATCAAGTTCAAATTTGCCTTGGTAAGGCATGTTGTTTGGTCTTTGTGACGCTGAAAGTGTATGTGACCCATTAATTACCACATCACCACACACGCTTATATAGAGTACTTCAGGCACAATATGCCAGACAACCAATACAACCAATAGAGTGGCTGACATAGTAGCACACTCACCGCATGCTTCTGGTATTTCACTGCAAGCACAGTGCAGCCCGTGACCATGACAGCAGCGGCCAGTCCCAGCACCCCAAGGAGGGCGTACAGGCCAAGTTCCAGTGGTGAGGCCATGAGTGAACGAGATCCATCGGACGAGAGAGCAGCCCGGTTGTGGTGTGCCTGCACCGACGGCTCCAGGTGTCGTGCACCGTCCTGGTAGGGCACTGCATCCAGGCTACCACTGGCACCGGCCGAATTGAACCGGGCATTGACCCTGGCACGTGCCCAGGCCAGAGGGGCACCACGCCGCCGCCGTTGACAAGCTTTGCCCAGCTCCAGGCTCAACTGATGGCAGGAGGAGAGAATGCAAAGATGCGTCAAGAATTAAACACAGAGGACACTGCATATTCTTACCCTGTGCACTCCTCTATTTGCTCATTACGGCCCTGAGCCCATTACAATTCAGCAAATTTGTAAGGTAGTAATAATACTGTTGCTTTCTGACCACACTGGACCTCCGATGAGATTGAACACATCTGATCACTCCTCATATATCTGAACAGTGTGTGAATAATGCAAGAATTATCTGTAGTGTGCGACAAGTAATTATATAAAGGGTGACCATTACCAACCAGTTTCAGTTTCCGTTTGAGAGAGCTCCAATGACACCAAGCCACCAGGTGCAACTATCACCATTTGTCATGTGCAATACTCGACTATGTGAGCAACAGAACTGTGATGCACTTCCACGTGGTCTCCATCAAGAAGCCCTTTCAAACAGGAAACAGGAAAGCTGTGTTATCAGACACAAAAAATCTGAACGTGTGTGCAGTGGCCACGGACTCGCAAGCAGCCGCTGAGTAGTAGAGCTGCCGGCACCAATTCTTCAGAATAGTAATGGCGACTACGACCAATGTTACCACAGTTGACTCCCGTTAATTCAAACTCGAAGGGACCTCTGGATTTCGTTTCGATTATCAAGAAGTTTGAATTATCAGAAGTTCTCAGATATATGACTTTGGGTGATGTGGCACCCCATATTATGGTTAGGCAATCATTCCATCACAATAAAATTTTTTTAGCATTTTTCAACCCTAAATGCACACAATGAACAGAAAGCACAGGTACAAGGTCCACAAGTTTATTGGCCATATACTGCTGATCAGACCTTTTAAATAAATCGTGAATTGCCAACTGCTTCTTTGCTATATATGCCTTCAGAACAAAGCTCTCTATACCAGTTGAAAAGCACCATGGTTTACCATGCGTGTGCTTCGTTTCAGGCATTTCTTCATTAGCAATGCCTTTTTTCTTGAAGGCCTGAGGTGCTTATTTCTCACTTTTATACTGTTACAATTACGTACGCATGCAAATTTTTAAATATGAGTGGGAAACTGGCAGATATTTTCTGGTATGAAACAGCAAGAAGTATGAATTAGCAAAATGATAGAGTTTGAATTAGGAGGCTTTTAAATACATTACAAGAATAGAGGGCCAACCAAAAAAATTGAATTTTGTTTGATTACCAAAAGTATGAATTATCAGAGTTTGAATTATCGCGAGTTTACTGGAGATAATTTCAGTGGTCGAACTCTGCCACGGCACCTGACTTCTTTCTGTCGCGCTTGCGCAGCGCTGTCGGCTCAAAGGCGAGCGGTGCAAGCAACGCTGGCAGAGGCAACGTTACATTGGGCAGAGGCACCAAACCGCACGCTTCTTTCTGCTTGTGTTGGTTATCTATGCGCCAGGATAATGCCACGTGCCTTGTAAGCAAATATGCCTCGGTGTTATGTGACAGGCTGCCAGAGTGGCTACGACTCAGAGCAATCTTTCAGCGAGGTCTTTTCTCAGGCCCCTGAAGACTGCTTCAGGTCTTCGCGAATGGCAGCGCACCTTTGCGAGGCTGGACAAAGAACTCACAAACTCTTGTGTCAAGTGTGACCTGCACTCCCAGCCAGAAGACCTTGTTAAAGATTTCATCCACAACGTCAATGGTAAAGTGATCACCATACCACGTGATAAATGGACGGTAAAAGAAGACGCTTCACGTCTCTTTCCCAGTTTTACAAAGAATATATCAAAGCCCTCAAAGATGCGCAAGCTTCCCACTGTGCTGCCAGCCGTTGACGTTAAGTAGCGAAAGAAATGAAATGAAGGTGAGAATGAAAACGTAGTGCCCAATGATTCTGACCACGGTGAACAAGCGTGTTCTACAGACGATTCGGTTGCCGTGGAAAGCCCTGCATTGCTCTTCGACGAGCTTTCAACCACCGCGACACGCTAGCGAAAGAGTGCAAGGATGGTCGGCAGAAGCAGTTGATGATACGGTTGTTCTTGTACTCAAAAATGCTATTCCGATTGCACTGAGAAAGCCGTGACAATATCAAGTGAGCTTTTAAGCTAACTGTTAGTGCAAACGACTTACTTGTACCACCATCCACCTACACTACGAATTCGTCCGTCCAAATGACTTCACTTCGTGATTTGAGATCTCTGCTCAGCTACAGTAACTAAAGGAAACTGTGCCAAGGTATCCCTGCCAATCTGTATCCAGAAATCTAGTCGTCAACGGTTGGCACAAGAGAGGGCAAGACGTGGAGATGGAAGACATGTACTGTCATGAGCGCAAACACAAGGCTTGTGCAAATATGTGCTCTGAAATGATTTGTTCCCGTAGTGAAGGTTCTTTTTCTTATGTTTCTCTTATGCACATTTCTGATTTATATGAGTCAACTCCACTCCTGTAATAGCCCGCAGAGGGCTGACAGTATCAATAAATGAAATGAATGAAATGAAATGATATCCCAATGCTCTGAATCACCGAACGAATAATGCAGTATTCGAATTCGCTTTGAATCGAATTTGAAATAAAAAACTCGAATTTTTCGAGACGAACGAATACATTATTATTAATCCGCATGTATGCCCTATAAAAATGGTTTCACTGCAGTAGAGTAGTGCTAAGCCATAAAAACATCTATAAATGTATATTAGTTCGCATGTAACTTCTTGTAAAAGTGGTTTCACTGCAGTGAAGTGGCGCTGAACCATGAAAACGCAAATCCAGAAAAAATCAGCCTTGCCGTGAAACCCCACTTCAAGGTTGAATAAAGATATTACCTTCATATAGATTCATTTTTTCAGTTTAAAAGCTCATTATACCAACTTATACACTACAAGTATAACAAATTTTAAAACATAAATGTTCACAAGCTATCACTAGCATTCTACTGAAAGTCAAATGCTGCTACTATATATTCAAAGTTGCTTCTATTTCCTTTGATGCGAAAAAATGGCAGCTGAACAGGCCTTGCTATAACTTAAAAAAAAAATATTGTGCGGCTAAGTTTGGTCACAACAAATCAAATGTGCCCCTTTTTCTTTATAATATGTCATCTACATACTATTCGAATTCGATTCAAAATTTATTTGACCTACGCTTCGAATTCGTTTTGAACCCGAAATTCACTGTTCTCACAAGCCTAGTAAGCACCACCTGCCCAGAATGTAAGATACTAAGTAAACTATTTGCAGACCTAGAGAGGCGCTGCTTCACTCTTTTTGGCTGCACAAAACATATGTTCGCATTCACGTGCAAAGGGTTGAATTTTTTCGTTGTTACGCTGATGCATTCTTAAACAAGAGATATAAATTTTTTACTAGTAAACAGTCAGAAGGTAGCTGTAGTAAACTAGAAAACGTGTCTTCTGGGAATATTTCCAAACGTGCGCTTTTGTATTGTTATGTAACCGGCCCATTATACTCGTACATAAAACAATATTCACTCGATGCCGGATATATCAAACTCGGATATATTGAATTATTGGCTATATCGAAAAGTTGAAAATCCCCTTGAATTTGCCATGCAAAAGTATGGGGCGATGTGCTCATTTATGTCGCAAGAAGAGTCACTACGCGACCAGTTTGTTGCCGGTGTGTCTTCGCATCGTATTCGGGAACGTCTTCTGTTAGAAGGGTCTTCGCTTTCGTTCAACAAGGCACTTGCTCTCGCGAGTCAAATCGAGCAGGCAGCAGTGGAAATGAAGGAATTTTCCTTCTCTGTGTAACCAGTATCTGCGCAGTCTGGCACAAAAGGCGGTTCATCGTTGCAGTCACCGAATTTACTGCCGCGTGCTCGCACTTTCAGTCAACGCGATAAGGCAGCTACATCGGGGAACTGCCCCCCCTCTCGACAGCGCTCTCCATCGAACTCGCAGCAACACGCGAATTCTTCGTATTGCTTCAGGTGTGGTTCTAAACAGCATCGCGCTTCTTGGAAACGCTGCCCAGCTAAAGGGAAAAAATGCTTCTTTTGTGGCCGTATCGGACATTTTGAAAACGTTTGCAACCAGAAGCGGTCGCAAGCAGCTGTCCACGAGGTTTCAGTACATAGCCCGTTGCAGGATGAAACCGTCGAGGTTCTTGTAGTTCAACAGCCCCTTGCATCTGGAATTCACATTAACATTCAAATTGGGCAGGTCGCTATGAAGCTGTTAGTCGATTCTGGCTCTTCCGTTTCCATTCTTTCAGGCAAGGTGTTTGACCAACATTTCTCTGGTGTGCCGCTTCTTCCTGTTCCTCGTGTGACGCTTCTGGATTATTCCAAAAGACCAATTTCGGTTCGAGGCTGCTTCTTTTCTGAGGTCTTTTTCGAGAATCGCAGCGCACCGCTTTTGTTTTATGTCGTCGAACAGGGTACTTCTCTCGTTCGCTTGGATGGTATTAAGGCCTTGAAGTTGCGTATTGAAGGCTCTCAGCTGCAGTGTTTTCAAACCAACACGGTACCGAACGCTGCCGAAGTAGCTCGGACATGTACAATAGAGCCATCCATGCAGCTGCCGTCAGCATTTAAGCAAAAGTTTTGCTCGCTCTTCACAAATGAGCTGGGCCTTGCAAAAGGTTTTGTTCACAGGATTAAGACACGTGCGGGTGTTCAGCCAGTAGCATCAAAACTTCGTCGGCTTCCTTTCATGTTACGACCACGCGTGTCTTCCGAACTGCAGCGCCTAGAAAGCTTGGAAATCATTGAACGTATCGACGCGTCAGAATGGGTGTCCCCTATTGTAGTCATTCAGAAGAAAGATGGAAGTATTAGGCTTTGTGTAGATTTACGCGAACCTAACAAGGTCATCGTTCCGGACAGCTTTCCGCTGCCTCACATGGATGAGTTGCTTCAAGCCTTGGTGGGTGCCACGCACTTTTCCAAACACGACTTAGTGGCTGCCTATTACCAAGTTCCGCTGGATCCTCGGAGCAGGGACTTGACAGCTTTATAACACATGAAGGGCTGTACCGGTTAAAACGCGTTTGTTTTGGGCTAGCCTCAGCACCTGCTGCTTTTCATA